GAATGTGTTGTTGTCAAAATAAAATTCCTTTCTAGAAACCAAGGTCATCTTTTGTTCTCTACACCTCTGAGCCTGACCGGAACTGGATGGGTGGAACTGCCAGCGTGGCAATGGAACATTGGACCATGTGATGGACTTGTGGGTATAGGGGCAAGATCATGAACTTTCAACTGGGTGGGAAAACCCGGGAAGCTTTTAGATTCGGGTTTTCACAGATGTGCCAACATGTCTCTCTTAATAAATTGGAACTTTGAGGAATATTTTGCCTTGGACTCTGATTTAATTTTGGATCATATTTGGAACGCTGACATCTACAGTACTTTCAAACTATGGTTTATGATTTAGTCTTTCCAAACATATAAACATATAAATACATAGGTGAACATTCAAATAATTATATTCAACATACTCTTCTTTCCCACAAAAAGATATTTTGGACTTATGTATTTTGAATGTCAATCTAAATCACAAATACAATAAATGCTGCATGAGAAGACATTTTTGTAATAGTGGTGCAAGGGAACATATAAAATAAAATAAAATATACTATATGAAATCATTTTTAAAGTAAAATATATCTAAAATTCTACTGAACCCAAGCAATTTATTTGAATCCCAAATCTATTTACATTTATTTTAAAACATGGATGTATTCACGTTTTAATTACTTTATTTCCATTGATTTTCTTTAAAATATTGTCTCATGTTTCAATTTGCTTCCAGAAATGAAGTCCAAGTACCACTTAATTCAATTCTTAACTGTCAGAGTCTCATTTCATTGAAAAGTCTCTTTCCCCCCAACTTTTGCCATCTTTACTATCTGTTATAAATTAAAAACCAGGGTATCTTCATATCTTAGAGCAGGAGTGTCAAACCCATGTCGTCATGGCAACATCACATGATGTATCGGGACTTTTTTTCCCCCTTTGCTAAATTGGGCGTGAGCATGGCCAGCACATGACGCATCCGGCCCATGGGCCGCGAGTTTGACAGCCCTGTCTTAGACTAACTTACTTGGTCTCACATATTGGCAGTCATGCTGTTTTGGATTTTTTTTACCTCTTTTATCAAATGAAAGGATTGCCCGCTCCAAAATGGGAAAATCTAAAGACAGCTGAAAACTCAACGTAACACCATGTGTTTGTGAAATTATACTGCAAATCAAAATAGTTTTTGGGATTCCTCTAAAATAAAACAAAAAACAATCACACTTTTATTTAATTCTATTTATGATCACTCAGGATAACTACAACCAACAATATATGTATGTGTGTTTTAGAAGATGTCACCTCCTCTGTATTCAGTGTTATTTCTCCAGTCACTTAAGTCAATTTCTGCAGTGCCAGCAATAACCAATTCTAGTTCTCTTGCATCAAATACAGACACCAGTCTAGCATCAACCACCTAGGAGAGAATATATATATTCAATATGTATCCTTTGCTGTTTTTCTTTCCGCCAATTATTATTATATACGGTCCATAGTTCATAATACTATAATTTTTGCTGCAACATTTAGATCTAGCCACTAAATTTGAAAGAAAAGTATTTCTCTCATTCTCTAGTCTAGTATATTTTTAAAATGTAAGCAGAGTATTAGAAGGCATATTCATACCACAAATAATGTGTGGAAATATCTCCAAGCAGTGCATTCTCAAGATCAAATTTTAGATGTTCAGCAGAATTTGTTCCACTGAAGTTAGACAGACACCCAGACATCTGTCAATATACTGTATACTAGCAGGAATTGTGATTCTTGAACCTAAGGCTGATTTACTGCCAGGAATATTCAATAGCTTTTTCTTTTAACATCCCCTGTGATGACATCTAGAACACGTGTCAAACTCGTTGCCATCTTATGACGTTCTTTCCCTTCGCGGAAGTGGGGTGGGCTTGGCCTTCCCATGATGCATCCAGCCCGCTGGCTGCCAGTTTGATACCCCTGATCTAGAAAGTCAGACCAAGGGTCTAATTAGCCCCACTTGATTTGTGGTAGTTCTTCAGGCTTGAGCCAGACATTTTTCAAGCCCTATTTGGAAATGCCAGATTGAATGATGGGAACCTGTTGTATGAAAAGCATTTGCTCTGCACTTAAGAAATAGGTTCTCCCATCATGCAGCTTGTGCCCCAAATGAATGAACTTGAAAACAACTGAAAGTCTAGGTATAAATATGCAACTTCAAAATGCAGCATAATTGTGCTGGCAACACTAACTGGTTACCATCTTCATGTGTAGGAATTAATACATTATCACAAGCAACTCTAGTTGCCTCACTTTGGTGACATTAATGTCATATTCTGAGTGGAACAACTTCAAAGGAAATGCAGTGGTTTCCAACATGATTTAAACAGTTGCAGGATAGGAAATACTTATGAATCACAGATAATCCTAAAACGTGCCAAATGCTCTAGGCACTTAATGCATGCAATATATGAAAACAGATTTATTTTTTACCTCATAAAAACCACGTACTAAACTTTCTGTCTGCTGCACCACACCTCTCTCAATTCTCCATTTCACCATTCTTTCTATATATTCCTTCTTGTTCTTTTCTGTCACAGGGATGTTGGCACCTCCAGGTTTCAATTCCCTTTCAGTAATCTTAAAAGCAAATGACCACCAATATATTATAAAGCAGGATCTATTGCAAAGAGAAATTTTAATCTATCAAAGTGGTACTAATTCCCCCAAATGACTGATAAAAATCCTTCTGAAGTGGTCAAATTTGGTCAATATAGAAAGAGCTAAAAGAAAAATTAATCTTTGGAGCTAATGGCACCAAGTACAAAACCTGAAAGCATCAAAAGGGGGAATACAAAGAAAGCATTCTAGAAAAGGGATGTTAGCAGCACTTCTTAATGTACATATTAGAGCAAGAATTCGTGTATAATGAAGAATTCTTATCCCAGGAGTCTTAAAACATAGTATAACTTCTGGGTACTGGATGCTTACCAGCATTGCTATCTGTAGGAAACAGCTTCTACCCACCCCACCCCACCCCCAGAGGTGGATTCCTACCGGTTCGCACCAGTTCGGTAGAACCGGTTCATCAAATCTACCGAACCGGTTAGAAGAGATTCCACCAGTGGACCCGGAAAGCAGGCCACACCTACAGAAGAGGTTCCAAAAATTTTTGAAACCCACCACTGCCCACCTCCATACTCCAAATTGTCTCTGTTTTAGAAGAACCTCAATTACAACACTGAAGGCTTCTTATCCTGGAGGACTTCTGGATCTATACTGAATTGGCCCAGTCAGGAGCAGTTCAGGATTATTTATCCCAGTTACTGTTTGATTCCATACATACAGCAGGACACACTTAGATTTGGGTTTTGTTTAGGAACCAATTATAGTCATATATTGAGGACTGCCTTTATTCTTACAGTTTTAAATAGTGGCTTTTAGGCAAAATAAGCAATGTACCAAAGCAATATGTAAATGACACCTTATCTGGAGGTTTTGAGCTTAGTTGCATCCTTGAAGATGTTTGTAAGCAAACAAGCTTGGAGGACACCGGGAACAATACAGTTCAACCCTAAGCTATTTATATTCTCTTCTATTGGAACATTATCTTGAAGCAAGATGATCCAAGAAGAGAATTAGAAGCATTGTAAAAATAAGTACCACACAACTGCCCTTGAAAGAAAGAAAAAAAGATTGCCCACACCTGTCCAAAGACTTCTTCATTTACAGTGAATGTGAGATCTAAGATATCATGTATATCATTGTCTTTCATCCATTGTAGACTTTGGTGAAATTCTTCATCAAGATATTCCAGATCACTTAGGTCACACAATCTATAATAAAGAAGTAATTAGAGGATTAAAAATGACCCAGATTATGGTGATGTGTACAAATGAAGAGAAGATGAATACGTGCTACCAAGTCTGTTTCAACTCTTAATAACCACATATGGATTTCTTCAAGATGGTCAATCCATGGTGGGTTTTTTGGTGAAATATAGGAGTTGTTTACCACTGCTTTCTCCTGTGCAATATGAAATGAAACCTTTGCCTTTACCATTAAAGAGATCTTCTGCCTCCAACATCTTCCTATGTTACTGCTGCCAATATTGGAACCTTCTTACTTTGGCTAGACAGGTTGAGATGATTCATACCTTGAATGACTATGCTGGGACTGCATACTCTTTGCATACACCCAGCATTGTTTATTCAACCCTCCTAGGAACAACCTCACACCACCTTAGAGGCAGCATAGCAGGACTACAGCAAGGTAGATAGGTTATTCATTCAATAATAAGGAGAACAAAGAAGGAAATCTGTACAATTATTACCGCTGGAGTTTTCTATGCTAAGTCTTTCATACATATTCATACATGTTCATTCATTCATTGGCACATCTTAAAACCCTAAATAAAAATCCTAAACTTACCAACAAAAAACTTCGTTTCCATTTTACTAGGAAAGTATTATTTTGTTTTTTTTTCACCTTTCAGCACCAATTAAAGGGAAATACCTTTCAAATCAATAATTAATCAGCAATTGGAATATCCTAGAACTACATGATGCTAAATGTGGATACCTTGCAAACTATCTCTCAATATTCATACTACATCAGAACAACATGTATTTTTGAATTTAGTTTATCCCCTAATAAATGACTCCTGAAGTAAAAAGGACAAATTTATCATATATAGGAAAATAGAAAGATATTTTATTTCTGCCTCCAAAATAGTTTTCTTGATCAGTACATTAAGTATAAATGCGGTCTGTGATTTAAAAAAAACTTATAATATTATTTAATATACATAAAGCAGTTAATTACAAATATGACTTGCATCCAGATATGTAAAAATACGTTTCTTTCCATATAAAAATAACCCTGTCAAATTTCTCTACTTACATTCTGAGAAGGGCTTTATAAAATGGTCGAGTAAAGAAGGCATCTAACAAGTATTGATGAATCAGAGCAAGACCAAGGATTCGACCACTAAATCTGAACCTACAAAGAAATTAAGAGTACAGTTTAGATTTATTATTTATCTATTTAAATTTGTTATATATGCTAGTTCAGTAAGTAGCTTTGACACTATTATCCATGTCCAAAAGGTAACTTTCGCGTTATCTTTTCACAAGATCATCATTTAAAAAAGATATTGTCAATAGTTCAAATTTAAAGGATTTAACATTAAACAAAATTATCAAGAATATTTGCCCTTTGAGATATAAATACAATTGAAGATGCTATGGTTATCATTTCATGTGAAAGGCAAATGCTATATTTTTTCTGGTAAATATTTTTCTTGTTTCCTTAATTTCTGTGAGTCAATAAAAATTATAGGAAACATAAAATCAACACAGTAACAAATTGGGAATCAATGCAACTCCTTCAGAACATGAATAACCTATGTGTTGGAACTGTAACTCCCAGAATTCCTAGGCTGCAAGGCAGTTGCAATCCTAACTTATCTGGAGAACACTAGATTGAGGAAAACTGATGTATAATTTATTTGTAGGTAAGCTGCCCCCATCAACAACCTACTAGCAGCCTTTTGCCCCAGACACAACTTGAGAGTGAATCTCAAGGACAGTCCCATGTAAAATACGTTGCAATAATAAAACCTGATTTTACCAGGATATATACTATTATGAAGGCTATCCAGAGGTGGGTTCCTACTAGTTTGTACCTATTCGGTAGAACCGGTTCGTCAAATCTACCGAACCGGTTAGAAGAGGTTCCACCAGTGGACCCGGAAAGCAGGCCACACCTACAGAAGAGGTTCAAAAAAATTTTGAAACCCACCACTGGTCCTTGGATATGATTATTCTACACTATCATGATCATATTTATAAAACTTAGTGCCTCTGTGAAAGGTAAGGATGACTACTGCGTTTGTGGTGCAATCAGAACATTGCATGTGTTGAAGTTGTTTTAACGCAAACCAAAGATGCCTTTTAAAAAACAAGTTTACATCATATTCTTATGCATGCCAGTGCTGTGTGTGAGGTAATTTAAGGTGGTTCTGACAAGTGTCGTCGGCATCTTCATATCCGGTCACATGGGCGGCAAGCCACTCCCATCCAGTCACATGGGCAGCAAGCCACTCCCACAAAGGAGGCCACACCCACAGAGTAGGTTCAAACAATTTTTGAAACCCACTACTGAGGCTATCCCTATAAAGAATAGTCTTACTGGAGTACAAGCAAAGGTAATAATAATAATAATATGGAAATCCTTGTTATAGAGGCCACCTGTGTTCCATTCATAATAGGACAGGAAGAACATACCCAAATTAACCAGATGTTCCTTCAGAGGGTATGCAAAACTATTCTTCAGAACAGGCAACCTGCCTAATTCCCAGACAAGGAAATTGTCCTAATCACAGACCTTCCATATTATTAGGATTCAGTTACTGTTTACTGGCTCTCATCCAGCTCATTACAGCATCCAGACAAGAGATTCATCATCTCTCCTGATTCGGAGAGCTAGAGCTGAGTGTGTTTGTGAACTGATGAAAACCAATCAGAAACTTCATTCCCTCCAATGGCTCCATAAAGACAACAACCTACAGACATGAAGTATATGGTGAAAAATACATCAATGGTAAATTTTCTTGACATATATTATGTTGTGCAGTCCTTGAGAACAGCAATGTTTTGTCACTTAAGAAATTGGGCCAGCGTTTTGTGCCCCCTTTCATTCACTTTTTTTTTTTTTGTATTCACATAAAGAACTCAGACTAATGAGATGCAGTAAACGCTGTTTTCAATCTCTTTCTGGCTGACTTCACTCTGCCTTTAATGTTATTTTGCATTTTATCCTCCAAGAATTGACAAGACTAGGTAACTGTTTTCCTTTCCTTTATAGAAACATGGATAGCCCAAGAGATGGTACAAAACACAGAGCCACAAAGTAGTTTTACTATGTGAGAAGTCTTAATATGAGAGAATTGGGGAAAAGATTATTGCACGTCTTACTGAATTAGGCAGATTTTTTTTTTTTAAAAAAAAAGCAGACTCCAAAACAAAGACTAGAAGTGTAATTGATTTTATGCCTTGACAAAGTGAACTTTTGATACTTAGGAAACCCCCCAGAGCTCTGAAAGAGTTCACTCATGCCTAGCTCCAGTGTTAGCTGCGTAGGTTGGAAGATTCATTGGGTATACCATGGAAGATTCAAGGATTCTATTCCAACACCTTGCAATCTATTATTTGAAAATATGTGTGATTTACCTTACTTGGATCTTTACATGTGATTTACCTTACTTGGATCTTTCATAGTAAATGAGAAAGTAGAGCCCAACCTATACTTTATCAAAATAACAGTATTTCTGTGATCCAGCATTCTTACCATTCATGGTGATTGTCGACAAAAGCAGACATTGGACTAATTTGTACAGTGTATGTGTCGTTGGCTGAATATTCAAATAAACCATAGTATGGGTTGAAGAGTTCTCTTGATACCAGGAAAAAAAACTCCCTTGATGGTCCACTGTAGTCCAGTCTTAAAAACAACAAAACATAAAGGGATACTATACAAATGTGTTTTTTAAAAAGAAAATTAAAAATACAGAAATATTTTCCTCAGAGAATTATTGATTTACTCCCTCCCACACACACATTCAATAATTTCGAATCCTTTCAATTATCTCCGTGTAGCTTCTGAACATTTAAGTTAATGACCACTTATACGGCTTTGAATGTTACAAAGGTAAGTTAGTAGTACACTACGATAGCATCATTCAAAGCACTGATTTCTATTTCAGAATGTATGAAAATGTAGATTTATTATTTTCCATCCACCCGACATAATTGTATCTCTGATTTAAAGGCACAGATTATGCAAAATTTCCTATTAAATAGTTTGCAATATATAGGTTTAGGTTAACTGTACTTCATTCCAATCCTGAAATGAATGAATCTTTATTCTACATTTATTCTCCATAGAAGCTTAGTTTCCTTTAGTTCAGGTGCTGTTGTAGAATAGAAGCTAGTATCTTCAATGTAGTAAATATAGGCAAGACAGATGATAGGAAAACAGTGAGCAAATTAAAGCTCATTTGTTTTTCTGGAGAAAATATTTCTCTGTTTTGCTTTAGCTTTCTCACGCACACCCAACAACTGTTTAAATTATTATGTAATATAAGGAATCTTTTATAAAAGCCAAATCTGCCAGTCAGATAAGAAATTCATTGTAATAAATATCTATCTGATCTTTAGCTGTTCAATCTCCTTCTAGATTTGTTCTTGCCCAATGAGTAATCTATAAGGAAGCCATTATCATAGAGAGCAAGTGATTGGACAAATATGTATGATAACATATTTGATGTGTATTGCTCTTATGACAGGGACATATATTTGGGTGAGATGATGCTCGGGATATAATGTTTTAAGTAGAGATATTTACCAATATTTCTTAAGTACTTTTTAATTTGAAAAATAAAATTCTTGATCATCTCTTACGAAGAAAGAGTGATGCACTCTGACTAGAAGTGGTGATTAAAATTTTACTTTGAGCTCTTACTTTTCTGTTTTCTGTTGTTGTTGTTTTTTAGTGTTGAATTTAATTAAAAGAATTACAGTTCATTTAGTACAGTGTTTCTCAACCTTGGCGACTTTAAGTCCTGTGGACTTCAACTCCTAGAATTGAAGGAGTTGAAGTCCACAGGACTTAAAGTCGCCAAGGTTGAGAAACACTGATTTAGTATGTTTGTTTATAATGGCCAATCATTGTGAATAGCTAGAAATTAAATGAAACTCATTTCCCAGATGGGAGTTAAGTGGATACCCTGTTTGCCTGAAAATAAGACCTCCCAGGATAATAAGCCCAATTGGGCTTTTGAGCACATGTGCTAAAGTAAGCCCTCCCTCGAAAATAAGCCCTCCCCGAAAATATTGCAACACAGCAGCACCATTCCCGCCGCCTCCTGCACCTTAAAAATACTAAGACCTCCCCGAAAATAAGGCCAAGCGCTTATTTCAGGAGTCAAAAGAAAATAAGACCCTGTCTTATTTTCGGGGACACAAGATATATAGTGAAGAAATTATCTGTCATTGTTTGAGCAGCAGGGAATGAAGCCACTCTTTGTGGACTTGCATTTAAACAAGATTCAATGAATACTTTCAAATAAGCCACACTCTGCACATAGTTTGGTCCTGGCTTTGTTTTTTTACTGCAATCATCAAGGAAAGCCCCAATTCATATAAATATGATGCTATTTTCTCCCCCTGTCAAAAGAGAATTACTGGCCTTCAGAAGCTGAAGAATGGAAATCCCACATAGCAATTCTATTAGTAACGAAAAGGCTGTGACAGCAGGAATTACTGGATCCAAAAAAAACACAATAGTTCATAATATCCATGATTTATACTCACTGTATTTCTAGTTAGAAAAACATACAATAATATTTAAAGTCCAAATTTTACTAAGGTAGCTTCTACACAACACAAAATTATACATTGCCAAAATAATTAACACATTTAACAAAATACTTTACATTTTGCATTCATTAATATTTTTCTATGTACAATATAAGTATAACTGATTTACTGTTGCAACAATTACCTTAAAATAGCTATTTTCTTTCATATTTTGTATGTTCAAAATCAAAACAACCTTATTTATTATTGATTAAAACTATTCAGGAAAAGAAGACACAATTTTTGCAACAGAATTATTTCTTTTTTCCCCCCAATTTCTCCCCTGCACTGGTTCTTTTTTTAAACCATGTGCAATTAGATTGACCCAGACTTGAGAGACACACAAAATCACTGGAACCTAGACCAGATAGTTCCAATATATCAGAGGTGGGTTCCTACCAGTTTGCACCAGTTTGGTAGAACCGGTTCGTCAAATCTACCGAACCGGTTAGAAGAGGTTCCACCAGTGGACTCGGAAAGCAGGCCACACCTACAGAAGAGGTTCCAAAGTTTTTTGAAACCCACCATTGACAGACAGAGAGAAAGACAGACACACACACACACACAAACACACACACACAGAGATTCACACAGAGAGAGAAAGAAAGGAATAAATAAATAAATAAATAAATAAATAAATAAATAAATAAAAGAAAAAAGAAAGAAAAAGTGAGA